ATTCCAGAGAAGAATTTTATTATTTACTTGAATAATTGAATTCTTACAATTTTTTCACGACGAATTTAATTAAAATTTAATTGAAAATAATTCAATTCTTATTTATAGAATTTTAATAAAATTTTTAAAAATAATTGAATTTCAGTGAAGAGTTGCATTAAAATTTTCAAATAATAATTGAATTTCCGAGAAGAATTTTATAAAAATTCTTTTAAATAATTGATTTTTTTCGAAAAAATTCAATGAAAATTGTATTTTAATTAATTGAATTATTTTGGAAAATTTTATTAAATAATAGTGGATATTTCGAAAATAATTGAATTCTTACGAAAAATTTTCTTAAAATTTTTCAAAAAAATTGAATTGATTCTAAGAAATTAAACAAATTTTCGAGAATATTTTTTTATTTCAATTAGCTTATTAATTAATAAAAAACTAATTAATTAGCTTAAAAACTTTTAAAAAAAGAAAAAGTAGCTTTCAGTGTCACAAATCTCAAATATGTATCGAAATAGTAGCAATACGTAAAAAAAGTAGTAAATAGTTGGTTTTAGTAGATAAGTGTGAAGCCTGCAATCTACAAAATAAATTAACAGTCAATTAAAGGAAAAAGAAGAAGAAGCTATTTTTTATTTATCGAGCAGTCAATCTAGTACATCGATTTATCTATTTATGAGTATGTGGAACGAACCCTTTAAAAGAAATTCCACTTGACCTAAAAGGGAATCCGTTTGACCCATTTCAGGTGCATCAAATTGGTTCAAACAACTCGTATTATAAACACGAGTTTTCAAAAACGAATCTTCAACTCCATCGAAATTCTACTTTACTTTTGTCAATTTTCAAACAACAACAACTTTCTATCATTCGATAAAATAGAAACAAAAATAAATATTTAACAAAAATGTTAAAATTTTCAAATCAGGAGAAAACATTCTTTCCACTGCATTGGATTTCAACAATTCAAATTGTATTCACATCCAGGATGTTTCCCACGTAAAAATATTCAGGTCTAGAAATTTTACTCAGCGAGACAATTCCACTTTGTAAGTAACTAAATAAAATAAAGTTTCTGCTTTTAATTTCAATAAATATTTAACAATAATAATTAATATTTCTAATTTTTTTATACAATAAAAAACAAATTTAATTCCCTTCCAAATACTTCTAAATTCTTCTAAATTCTTCTAAATAAAAAAAACAAAGAAAAATGCTTAGTATTCTTTAAATAATATTCAAAGTGCCAATTTGTAAGAAAATTTAAACTTAAAGACAAAAGCTTTTTTCAAAAAAAAAAAAAAAATGATAAGCAAAATTTAGCCCCATCAGAAAATCGATAGAAGTCAATTGCACTCTCTAATTATCTGAAACAGCGATAAAATACTAAAGATTCTAATTAGCGAATATGAGTAATTCTCCAAAAGCAAGGCTCCGTTGAAAAGTGAATTTGTTAAATGTTTTATCCTTTCATTTCCCTTAAAAAAAAAACTGGAAATTCTTTTGCAAAATTTGTGATACAAAATAGAAATTATGCTAATTATTTCCATTTTTTTTTCTCAAAAAGAAACGAAAAATAGAGTAAAAAGTATGATTTACAAATCGATTCTTTACCTTATTTAAAAAAAAAATCCTTTCAAAATTCTGTTTCATTTCCAATTAAAAATTGTGATTGACAAATCGAAGTTCTAAACATTTTCCCAACTTTATTTCTAAAAAAAAAATTGAAATTTTCTTTAAAAGTTGTAAAAATTGAGAAATAGAAACGGAGCAAATTATTTCTATAACCCTTTGAGAACAGTCAACATGAACATTTTTTCATTGACTCGTGCATAAATTTCTTGATTTTAAAAAGTTGAATATTGAAATAATATTTTTCGTCTAAACTGGTAAATTTCCTTTTCCAAATATTGGTCTTCAAATAAAAAACCTTAAAAGAACTTTCCTTTGAAAAGCTTGTTTAAAAATCAAAAAATACGTTTTTTTTTAGAAAAAATTTGATTCTCAATGGGTTGAAAAAACAGAATTCTCTACAAAAATTGTGATTAATAAATTAGGCAAATTATATTTTTCCTAAAAGAAACAGAATTTTTGGGAATAATATTGTTATTGAGGAACAGAAAATATGTAAAATATTTTTCATTTATTAATAATAATTTTCTAATATTTTTTTATAAATAAAGAAAAATAACCTGCATAATTTCGTTTTGACAAAGTTTTGTATAGAATGATAATAAAAATAATTTGCGAGATTTTGATTTGAAATTACAATTTTTGTTACAAAATTCTATTTTTTTTTTTAGAAAACAACAAAAATTTGTTGGATAACTTCTCTTTCTCATTGATAACTTTTATCAAAAAACAAAGTTTTCTTTGAAAATAAAGAAACAAAACTCTGATTCAGGGAAATTAGAGAATTCAGAAAAAAATTAGGGAAATTAGAGAAAAATCAGGGAATTAATTAATAAATCATTTTCCTGAAAAATTTTCAAAAATAATTTAATTTTATAAGAGTTGCATTTATAATTTTCATTAATAAATGAATTTCAAAAGCTTTCGATTTGAAATTTTAGAAAATTTGAATGTTTAATGAATTTAGTTTGAAATTTTATTAAAAATTTCCAAAATTTAATTATTTTTAAAAAAAAATTCTCGAAAGAATTCAATAATTCTTAAAATTTTTGATAAATTTCTTAGCAGAATTTCAATTATATTCAATAAAATTTCTGGAAAGAATTCAATTATTCTTAAATTTTTTTTTATAGATTTCTTGTCAAAATTTTAATTATTTTTAAATTCTTTGCAATAATTCAATTATTTTCAACAAAATTTTATTAAAATATCTAAATTGAATTAATTCTTTAAAATTTTAACTAATTTCTCTGCAAAATTTCAATTATTTTAAATTTCTCGCATGAATTCAATTATTCTTTAAATGTTTGATATATTTACGTGGAAAATTAGAAATATTTTCAATTCTTCGGAAGACTTCAATTATTTTCAATAAAATTTCTCGAAGGAATTCAATTATTCTTAAATTTTTTAAAAATTTTTTCTCTGAATTTCAATTATTTGGAATTTTTTACAATTAAACTATTTTTAATAAAATTTTAATAAAATATCAGAATTCAATTATTCTTAAAAATGTTGATAAATTTCTTTGCAGAATTTCTATTATTTTGACTTTTAGAAAATTTGAATTTTGAATGAATTAAATTAGAAATTTGAAAGAACTTAGTTTTTTTTGCAAAATTTTGATAATTCAAATTCTTTTGGAACTAGTTGAACTTTTTAATATAATTTAATTGGTTATTAAAAATAATTTGGTAGAATTTTGGTTAAAAACTCTAATGAAAATTAAATTTTACAGAAGTTACAAATAATAGCAACTTTTAGAAATAATTGAATTTTGAAAAGATTTTAAACACAAATCTTTGAAAATCTGAATTTTTCGACTTTTAATTCACAATTTTATAGAACTAATTTTATTATTTATTAATAATTATTTTAATTTCAATTCTGTTGAAATTATTTGGAGTTTTTACTTTCTAATATATATTTCATTGAAGAATTTGCTAATTTAAACGAAATAATTGTTTTAAAAAAGAATTTTAGTTAAAAATTCTAGAAATTAATAATTGAATTAAAATAAAGAAATTCATAAATAAATATAATAGAATATTTTGTTGAGTGTCTAATAATTTTTAGAGTGAATCATAATATTCTTTAGGGACAGAGAAAAAGTAAAAATTTTGTCTGAGAATTAGGAAAAAATAAAATAAAATTTTTGTGGCAACCCAGGTTTAATAATTTTTACCTCATTTCAAAACTTGTCGCTTTAACGTAAAAAAACACAATAAAGTTTTTAAATTAATAAACATTCATTAAAAAAGAAAAAGATAAATTCAGTTCGAATGTAATTAAACTCAAGTTGTGGTTAAATGTCGAAATTAAATACAATAGGGAAAACGAATCGAAAATGATCATTTTGAAGAATGTAAAATTTTTCGATAAAATGAAAATAAAATAAATGCGACCCTTTGGAGGATCGCATCTGGGAATTTGCGAATGCAAAAGGGACAAACTCTGCTCGCGTTAGCTGCAGAGGATCGATTTTTGCCTCTGTGCAGACTATCGTAACCCAAAGCACGTGCTCCCATCCAACTTGTTATCTACTCGACAGAAATGTCTGATATCGAATTTCACCGTGAACAATCTACGACTTTAATCACCCTATAGAGACTACGAGTTTTTTTCAAATAAAAAAGACCGTCCAATCTGCAATGCGGAAAAATAAAACTGTCCACTCATTATATTGGGACAAATCGACCCAATCGATGCAACCAATTTCAAAACAGAAATTATCAATGAATATTTTTCATTTTCAAAAGAATAAAAATGAAACCTAAAGCGAAAAGTTAAAACCTAAAATTAGATCTTCGTCAATAAACGAAAGTTTTGTATATTCATCGAAAGATATCTGTGATTTGAAACAACAAACAAATCATCTGTGAATGCAATTCTATTGGATGTGACGGAGCTTTAGATCAATTAATCCATTAACGCCAGCCACTCTTTTCCATATTACAAGCATAAATTGAGGAAAACTCTCCGCTATTTACGTTCAATATTTCAAAATGCAGAGCAGAATAACGTCATGCGTCAATTTAGTGTCCTAAGGAAAAGCCAATTATTATTATTGATATTTTCATTAACGATGAGAAGGTAAAAATATATTTTAGAAAAATCCATGAAAATCCATGAAAAAAGAGTCAGTTCTTGTAAAAATAAAAAAAATGGTTTATTTTTGAAAAAAGGAGTTAAAAAATTCCCTTTTGAAAAAATTTTCTTGAAAAAATTTACCAGAGTTCCAGAACAATCCAAAAAAACGAAAATTTTGATTTAATCGAATTGCCATTTTTTTGTAGAAAGAAAAAAGTGAATAAAAAAAAAATTGAATCCCTCTTGTGATATAAAATGCAAATAACTGAAATCGAACGTACCTTGTCAGAGTCGGTGGTGTTTGTCGATCCGAAAGATGCCAGGGAATTCCTGTCGAGATTTTCGACACTGTCGTCGAGCGAAGCACACTCCTCCAGGTCCCTACTGGATCGCTGACTGGAACTCTTCTTGGCGGGGCTCTTCGGCATGCTGAGACTGAAGTACGTCTCCTGAATGACCTCTCGAAGTCTCTTCACCCAAAGTTGCTTCGCCTCCAGAGAATTGGCCCTCAGGACCACGCGAGTGTCGCTCGTCGGCGCTCGTCCTGTCCAAACGGCGAACTTGCACTCGTCGCCTTCTATGTGTTCAGTGACACCCAACTCCGATGTCATTAGTCTACTTTTATAAATATATTTCACCTGCGAACATTCAAAGAAACCAATACTTTAGCGAACAACTAGAAAATTAACCAATTCTACTTCAGGCTTTACAATGCCCCTAAAAAGTATTTTAGGGAAAATAGGGGACTTTTAGGGGACCATAAAAATTGGTTAAATGAAGATAAAAATATAATTTATTTATACAGGGTTCTCACAAAAATTTAACTTTATTTTTCCCTCACTTTTCCCTCATTTCTAAACACAACTTTGACTCATATTTTTCCCTGACCCTAAAGAATATTCTGATTTACTCTCAAAATTATTAAATACTCAAAAAATGTTCAATTAAATTAATTTATAAATTTCTTCAAAAGTCAAATTATTCGAAAACATCAATAATTTTATTTAAAATGAATATTAAATCATTTTTTTTTTCATTTGAATTAAAATATTCAAAAATTTCTAATTCAAACCTTATTGAAATTAAACAATTTAAAAAAAAATTGTTACAAAACATAAAGAGACTGACAAAACCATTAGTTTATTATTATAAGAATATTGTAAGTGTAATTTCTTCGAAATTATTTGTATCATTTCAATTCAATTAACATTCTCTAGAATTTTTAACTAAAATTCTACTTTAAATCAATAACATCAATTATTATTCAATTAAACTTTTTCAAAAAAATTAATTCTACAGAATTGTTAGTTAAAAAAAGTACGAAAAACAATAATTTAATTCTACGAGAAATCAATTAGTTTAAATACAAAAATAAATAATATTGAATGTTTCTTAAAATTTAATTTTTACGAAGAATTGTATTAACAAATTTTGAAAATATTTAATTTTTTTTTTAGGAATTTAATAATTAATAATAATTTTAATAATTTTCATTAAAATTTTAATGAAATTTATTATATTAAAGAATTTTATAACAATTTTTGAAAATAATTGAAAACTTCTTGAAGAATTTTATTAAATTTTTGAAAATAATTGAATTCCTGAGAAGAATTTAAATAATAATTTTTGAAAATAATTGTATTTATGAGAAGAATTTTATTGAAATTTTTGAAAATAATTGACTTCTTGAGAAGAATTTTAAAAAAAATTTTGACAATAATTTAATTTTTTAGAAGAATTTCCCTATCGATTTATAAAGACAATTTAATTCTTGATGAGAATTTTTAAACAATTTTGAAAATAATTGAATCCCTGTAAAAATTTTATAATTTATGAAAATAATTGAATTCTTGTACAAAATTTTATTATTTGTAAAAATAATGAAATTATTGCGAAGAAATTTATAAAAAATTTGTAAATAATTGAATCCTTTTAGAAAAATTTATTAAAATAGTAGATATTAAAAATCATTAAATTGAGGAAAATCTTTGAAAATAATTGAAAGTTTAACCTAGACTTTTTTAAAATAATTGAATTCTTGCAACGAATTTTATTAAATTTTTTAAAAATAGTTGAATTCCTAGAAAGAACTTTATTAATTTTTTATTTAAATAATTGAATTCTAGCGAAGAATTTTATAAAAATGATTTTAAATTATTGTTTTTTTCGAAAAATTTTATGAAAATTGTGTTTAAAAATAATTAAATTTCTGTGGAAATTTTATTCTTTATGAAAATAATTGAATTCTTGACGAGATATTCATTAAAATTTATAAAAATAATCGAATTCGTGCAAAAGCATTTTATTACATTTTGTTTAAATAATTTAAATTTTGCCAAGAATTTGAATTGAATTTTGGAAAAGAGTTTCATTAAAAATCCTTAAAATAATTGATTTTATGGGGAGAATTTTGTTGGTTATCAAATTAATTGAATTCTTGTGCAGAATTACTTAAAAATTATTTAAAATAATTGTTTTCCTTCGACGAGAAAAATACTGGAAATTTTCAAAATTGGGTACATTTAGGGGCCAAAATTAAAAAAATAGATTATTTTGATTAAAAATATTATTTTAAATAAATTCCTTCATTTAATTTATATATTTATATCAATTAACAGAGCTGTCAGAATTTTTTTTCTGACCTCTATAAAAAATCAAGAGTAGTTCAATTAAAAAAGATAATTTTTAGAAACAAAAAATTAATTTCAAAGGAAAAAACAATTTAAATTTTTAATTCGTTTTGGTAGAACTGTCAAGAATTTAATTTTAAACAATTAAACGTTTCATTTAAGTAATCATTATTTTTGATAAACATTACAGGCCTTGAATCGACTTTAAGGCGCAACAAATTCGTTTTAGTCGATTTAAAGTAGAAAAAAATTCTTTCACTAGCATTTGAATTCGATAGTTTACTACTTTTTTTATAAAGAAAAAAAGAATTTCTTTAACAGAGTTGCCACAAACATTAAATTTTGTTTTCCCTGATTTCCATACAAAATTTAGACTTTTTCCCAAATCCTAAAGAATATTCTGATTTACTCTAATAATGATTACTTAGATACTAAAAAAAAAATGTTCTATTACATTTATTTAATTTAATTGTAAAATTATTCGAAAACAACAATAAGTTCATTTTTAAATAAATAATTTTTTGAAGATAATTAAATTTCTAAAAATTATATATAATAATCGTCGTGATTCCAGATTTCCGGATCTCTGTCCACACTTGAAGTTAGTTATAGTTATTCTTTTGTTTTTTATAAGTTTTGATAGAAAATAGAAATATACATATATACATTATAATAATCGTAAGTTTCCTTTCCGTTAGCAAATTATCTGCATTCATTTGTTTGTTTTGAAAATTTAATTTTGTGGGTTAAGTATTGGCATTTTTTATATATTTTTTAATGTCAAACTTTTTAATGTGGAAAATACTTTACTTATTAAATTGTCTCGACTCTTTGGTAAAAAATCAAAAATTATCAAAAATTCGAAAAAATTCAAAAATCCGATTTTCTTAAAATTCAACATTCTTTCCTCTCTTTTATGGGATTTAGCTTCATTATTTTTGTGCTTTTGCAAAAAACTTTACTTATTAAATTGTCTCGACTCTTTGGTAAAAAATCTAAAATTATCGAAAATTATCAAAAATCCAAATTTCTTAAAATTTAACATTTTTTTTTCTTTTTTATATAATTTAGCTTCATTATTTTTGTGCTTTTGGAAAATACTTTACATATTTAATAGTCTCGAATCTTTGGTAAAAAATGTAAAATTATCAAAAATTCGAAAAATTTCAAAAATCCGTTTTTCTTAAAATTCAACATTTTTTCTTCTTTTTTATGGGATTTAGCTTCATTATTTTTGTGCTTTTGGAAAATACTTTACATATTAAATTGTCTCGACTCTTTGGTAACAAATCTAAAATTATCGAAAATTATCAAAAATTCAAAAATCCGAATTTCTTAAAATTCAACATTTTTTCCTCTCTTTTATAGGATTTAGCTTCATTATTTTTGTGCTTTTGGAAAATACTTTACTTATTAAATTGTCTCGACTCTTTGGTAAAAAATCTAAAATTATCAAAAATTCGAAAAAATTCAAAAATATGATTTTCTTAAAATTCAACATTTTTTCTTCTCTTTTATAGGGTTTAGCTTCATTATTCTTGTGCTTTTGGAAAAGGGGCCGTACACATAATACGTCACGCGGCTAGGGGGAGGGAGGGGGTCTGAGAATTGTGACTAAGTGTGACATGGGGGAGGGGGGGGTGAACTCATGTGTTATGTCACAATCTTTTAAATTCAAAGATTATAAGAAATTATATGTGACAATGGCACTTTTTCTAAATAAAACATGTTAAAAATGCTCTAAACTATTTAATATCTATTATATGTACCTGTTTAACATCTATTGGTATATTATTTATAATATGATAAGTAATATATTCTCTTAATTTGAATCAGTTAAAAATCATGGTTTAAACTGGCAATCAGCAGTGACTGTCTTTTTGTATCTGAATCAGTTAAAAATAACTGAAAAATTATCCACAAAACACCGAAACTTTTCTAAATATATGTATATTAAAGATTTGCTTGCATACTTCGAAAAGTTTACTAGCAATTAGTTTATTTAAAATTGTGTAAAGATTTAAATTTCTCACTCCAATAAATGTTTATCGTCAAATTTTCTTAAAAATATAGCTTGAAACTTTCCTGAACATTTAATTACACTTTTGACTATACTTTCGTAAAAATTTTGCTGAAAATTTAAGTTAAATTTTCAGGAATGTTTCGCGCTAAACATTTATTGAAGTGGGATATTTAAATCTTTATACAATTTTTACTAAACATTGCATTTAAATATTTCGAAGCTTGCCTTCAATAAATTGTTAGGAAAGTTTCGGTGCTATGTAGGTAGTTAAACGTGACTAATAATTAAATCAATCCAAAAAAATTTTATTGAAACATCAGTTATTTTTAACTAATTGTCAGAAAAAAAATATTACTATTTGAATTAGTGACTGATTTCTTGCTTCTAAATCAGTTATTTCTAACTGATTCAATAATTTAGAGTGTTGTATATAATATATAATGTCCAATGTATAAAATTTACAGTGAAATTTACGTGTGTGACGTGACGTAGGGGGAGGGAGGGGTTCAAGGTTTGTGACGAAGTGTGACATAGGGGGAGGGAGGGGTCGAAAATGGTCAAAAATCGCGTGACGTATTATGTGTACGGCCCCAAATACTTTACATATTAAATTGTCTCGACTCTTTGGTAACAAATCTAAAATTATCGAAAATTATCGAAAATTATCAAAAATTCAAAAATCCGAATTTCTTAAAATTCAACATTTTTTCCTCTCTTTTATAGGATTTAGCTTCATTATTTTTGTGCTTTTGGAAAATACTTTACATATTTAATAGTCTCGACTCTTTGGTAAAAAATCTAAAATTATCAAAAATTCGAAAAATTTCAAAAATCCGTTTTTCTTAAAATTCAACATTTTTTCTTCTCTTTTACGGGATTTAGCTTCATTATTTTTGTGCTTTTGGAAAATACTTTACTTATTAAATTGTCACGACTCTTTGGTAAAATATCTAAAATTATCAAAAATTCATAAATCCGATTTTCT